ATGTAAGCAAAAGTTTTGAAGCAAGCTGAGATGCTCAATATTCTCATGACCTGGTCAGTGCTCAGACCTCTAACATACATTCATTTACTCATGCAGTTGGGATCTAATGAAGCTTGTGCTGGATCCCCCAAAACATGCATCCTAGGGTTCCCAGCTGTATAGCCATTTTTGAAGGTCTGGTGTGTGTTGAACATATGCCCTGATTATTGGGTTCCTGGTAACCCCCAGCTCTCCTCCCTCAGTCTGCCTCAGGATTGGGTAGGGGCAGCTGGGTCTGGGGCCTGGGGCTGCCTCCAGTCCAATCCCACTGAATGGTCCATGACAGTTGCTTCCTGTCCTCTGGGGCTGCATCAGGATATGGCATGGGGCAGCCCTACTGTGCCACTTGTTCAATTTAAGACATGATACAGATGAGCCACAGAGATGTTCTGCACTATCTTTGTTCTGAAACATCTTTGTGGCTCATTTGCTACACTAGTGCCCCCCTGCATCTTCCCGGCTCGGCAGTTGGCCTCAAGAGGACCCCGGATGCGCCCCCCAGACCTAGGAAGCACCAGTTGCAAAGCTGGGTGGGCGCGGCTGTCGAATTGGGCCGAATCTCTGCCGAATCAAATCAGCAACTGAAACTTCGCACAGCCCTACTGTACACTATACTTTAGACTTAATGGGCACCTACACACGTGCCTGACACTGCTCCGATGTGTTCTATATAGAATGTGTTGGAGCAGACTTGATTAATCGAGTCTTCTGGAGTATGCTAATTACCACGCTCCAGCAGCTTTGGTGTCACTTGTATGCAGCATCCCCGTGCTTCAAAATGGCAGTGGGGGCATTCTAACTAAAGCTTGTTGAACAAGGTGTAGTTAAAGCATCCCCACCACCATTTTGAAGTGCGGGAACAACTGAGAATGCTGAGGGTACTTTAATTAGAGTGGCTCCCAAGAGCCACTCTTAATTAAAGCACCTTCCCCTCCCCCCACCATCCCCGAGCATGTGTAAAGATGTCCAAGATGGCTAAGAAGCTCATCAAAGTCATATTGACTTTATCTGAATACAGCTTCAAGTCCATCATTGATCCTTTGTTGGGAGAACTAAGACAAGAACATAGATTTGGGTTGATAAATAGGTTCATTTTGTGTTCTTTATGGACATTAAAGTACTTGGGCCACACCCTGATTCTTTGCTAGTGGTAGCTTTTATTTGCTCTGATATGACATAATAGTTGAATCATTACTCGCAAATGATCACTCAATACATGAACCATATATAACTGTTTTGCATCTTTATCTTCCTTCTGTTGCATTTTCTGTTTTTGCTCCCCTTCCCTCCAAGGTAATTGTTTGACAAAGCAATAGCCCCTATTATCTGCAATTGCATTGTCTAAGTACAGACAGTCAAACAGTTTGAGGATGAATCAATTCAATCTTTGCAGGTTAATCTTAGCTGTGTGGATTAAACCAATAAGCAAGTGAACAGACGTTCACCTTTGATTCTGGAAATGCAACCACAGGCCTACAGAGGCCCAGGCCAGAAGCCAGGGAGTGCCAGAACTTGGGCCAAGGCTAGCCTGCCCAACCAGGGCTGGTTTGCTGAGAAGGTACAATGCATCCTGGGATGTTGGGGGACTATGAGTTTTTAAATTGAATTGGGAGGGGATCGGGGACAAATTCAATGAACCAATTTAATCTTGATCAGTTAAGTCTGATACTACATCCAGTTTCAGCCATTTTGAAAGTGGTTTATGTGCACTGAACTACTGTTGTTACAGGTTTGAACTGGTTTCTCATCGCTTATACCAGTTTGTGTGTAATTTCTGTCCCTACCTATGGGGCTGTTCATATGAAGGAGAAAGGCATGATTTTTTCACAACTTGAACAAGAGAGTCAGTAATAAATTATGCAGAGCTACAATATCTTTATATTATATTTTGCATATAGATTGCTGATCTGACCTTGTGCAATAATACAATATAAGGTCCAGTTCAGGAAAAGCACATAAGCGCATCCATGTGTTTGTGCTTGCCTATGAAGGTCTGCTTTTCTAAACGGGGATCTTAAGAGAGAACTGTAACCACTAGAACCCCTGGTTTACTTCAGTGGGGAGGAGCAACTGCAGAGCAGTTAGGTTTTAAGTATAGGGTGTGAGTAGGATGTAGGTAATGTCAAGCTGTCTGAAATCAATGGATAAGCCCTACATTCTCTCCTCCCCATTCCTTATCTTCCATTGAGAAACATGAAATGGGTTCAGTCAATTTATTGGTCTATTGGTTTTCCATTAACATTTAAATAATAAGTATCAGCCCTACTTACGGGTGCTCTTTGAGGCCTTGGCTTGAAGATGATGAAATTCCCTCCTCAGTTTGCAGCACAGGTTGAAAAGTCTGCTGACCTCTGCTCTGCTAACATACAAACATAAAAAATCTTCTTTTGGTGTAGGTTTGCAGTTTACCCAAGTGCAGATTAGCAAGGTTTCACTGTACACATACATACTTGTATGTCTTGTAAAACAAGCAGTGAACTATAAAAACAATGGGGAAAAATCTTTAATAACATACTTCCTACTTCTGATTGTAAGGACATAGATCAAATGACACATGGCAAAATGGAAATTTCCTTGTGTATAGTAGTGAATTTTAGTCGGCAACAAATGCTGCTGTTCTAAAATACTAAAAGGTTAACTATTCAGAGAATTACTGAAAGTGTTTGAGAGAGAGTGTTTTTTCTTTAAAAAGTGCTCACTCTATAATTTTTCAAAGCTGAGGCATGCTAAGGATTTTCCAGCTGATATTAAGGAATGAGAAAAAGTTTTGAAAGCCAAAATAATCTGAGGATTTTTTAGTAAGGGAGGATTGTGCATAAAATTCATGGTGCCAATATGAGCTGAGGAATTGATTTTTCAAACATTTTCTTATCGAGTTGCATAATGGAACATTACAATAGTTATTTATATAATGTATACACTTCCCTTTGCTGCTAGCTACCCTTTGAAATATCTTTTTTTAGTCTGAGAACCCAGCATACCCCGAGAATAAAAAAAAAACCAACCCCAAAACCTCCAAAGTTTGACATCTTTAAATAAGCAACTGAATGTTATAAAGAACAAACCTCACTTACAGTTAGGAAACAATATTTACATTTAAGGTTGAAAAGTCAGGATGTAGGAAAATTTTGTTAATTTGGAAGGTGACCTTTAAGTGCACCAAAACCAAATAATTTGTAAGCTATGGCATAGGGCACATTCCTGCAAAAATTGTGTGAATACTGCTTTAGTGGTTCTTGAAAGACAAACAAAGAAACCTGGAATGAAATCTTTATCCCCCTCCCAAATAAGATTGGAGCTAACAAAGGCATACAGCAGCGCTCTTTCAAAACTTGCCATTAAAATGAGGGCTCTGCAGCACAGTTAATGAGATGGCTCCTAGTGGAAAACAATCTGTTTTAAGAATGTTTAGATCAAAAGTAATTTCTAATAATCTATGAAATAAAGTCTCTTTTCAATACCTTCATTCACTAGTAAAGCTTTTCACATTTGCATTATTTACTTCAATCAGATGTTTTCAGTTTTACTTTTTCTCCCTGAAAATACTTGACAGGGTTAGTCAGTAGTGACCAACAGTATTATTCTTTTTCTTAACCTCCCTCTCCCACCCCTCCCAATAAAAAAGAGTGAGAATAAAGAGGGAGAAGGAAAAAAAGAAACATCTTTGCTTAAATGATTTGCAAGCATCTGTGCTTTAAGGTACTTTTTATGAACACTCCTTAGTAATGACTCAAGGTAAAAAAGCAGAAAAGCATCCAATGTTAGGAAATTGCAATCCAATACCATGTAATTTAAACCTGCCGTTGCTTTTCTTGTACTAAATGACATACAGATGGGTAGTTTTGTTCCCTCTACTTAGGAACACAATTGGTCTCTTTATGAGTGTATATATATTACTAGCAAAAATATTTTAGTCAGGATTGTTTATTTCTAATTGTACATAGTATAACTACTTCAGTAATTAAAGTGTTTTTACCTGAAGTATTTTGTCAGCTAAATTTTCAAATGGTTATTAAATACCCTTATACTAATGTGAGATTTTTTTAGTTTCCATTCACCAAAGCAACCAGTATTAGTTACTAAAAAGAAATCAAGCGTTTCCTTTCTCAAAAAAAATTTTTTGTAACTTTTTTTTCCCCTGGTGTAATTTCAGGTTTTTTGCATTATAACAGTGTTTTCACAATGATGCATAGGTACCACTTGAATTTCCTTATATGTGTAGAACTAATAAAAGTCTTATTTAAAGATTTCCAAAGGTTCAGAAAGGAGTTAGACATCATAGAAAAATCCTGTCCCTTGTTTTTAGGATGACTTGACTTCTGAATCCTGTACGTTTTTTAAAATGGTGAAGTGACTTCACGATTAAAGCTTGTATTCTGATTGATCTAACTAGACAGGCTATGAGGATGATTCTTTAGTGACAAAATTATACTTGTTTGTATGAAGTAAAATTATATGTGGTGATGGTAATCAAATCAACCACTATGGTAAAGTAAAATAATTGACAATATTTAAAATGACTGCAAAATCATTGGATGCTGAATTTTGGCTAAACATCATATGCCCATTACCTTATGTCTACAATATAGATGTCTTGTAAAGTTGTTTGAACTTTTTTTTGCAGATTTTTTTTTTTTTTTTTTTTTTTTTTAGTGGTAGAAAAATATTACCTTCTCATGAACAATTGTGTGCAAAAGTGTAGTATGGTACACAGAAGGCTTTGGCTGTAGCACATTGTCACTGCTCCAGTGGAATCACCTGGCTCTTGAGCAACATTCTTTTTAAACTTGGATTTGAAGAAATAATCAGCTGCAGTTCAGCTGAGCCATTCTGAGTGCATTAGGGACCGGTCTGGTCATTGACAAGTGAATGTAGAAGCTATGCTGTGGCTGTCAGCCAAAGCAATTATTCAGGATTTAAGCTAAAAAGGCTCCTTCTCCCATATCCTCTCCTTTTTGCAGGGTCATGTAGGGATAAAAAGGACTGTAAGGTGGTCTTTTCCCAGCAGGACCTGAGGAAGCGGCTGACACCCTTGCAGTACCATGTCACTCAGGAGAAAGGGACTGAAAGGTAAGGCAAGAATGAAGGAAGTACGATCATTAAGAAATATTCATCTTCCCTTCCCTTGCTCTTCTCTTTTTGGTCCTGTTTCCTCATCTTCCCCACAAACTGTTTTCAGGATTTCTGCACTTGTTTACTAACTCCTACAAATTAACACCACTGAAAAGACAGGAATCTGCAATGTGGAGGTCAAGCCTGAGGGTTTTTTGTGATTCATTTTTTTTCTAATGAACACCGCATGTCTTATAAAATCATGGGGTTTACGTTTAGGGTCTGTTTTTAGTTTAATACAAAATGTGTGGAAGTAATAGCGGTTTAGGTACAATTTTTGGAAGACATCACAGTAAGCAGAACCATGAGGGAAATGGCCCTGTGCCAAGAGGCTGAAATTTTGAAGGTGGTCATTGTAAGTATAGACATTTTGGCTGCAAAAAGAAGGTAGCATAATTTAGTTCCTTTCCACCCCTCTCCAATTTCTTTTTGAAGCACATGTGGAGAAGGTATTTATTGGCTCATTTGTGGTTGGAATGTCAAAAATTTTCAATAACTGCCCTCACATGGCTTTAGTCCTTGGAAGCTGGCCCTAAATCCTGGAGGAGGGGAAAAAAAAGTGCTCACTTCCAAGACTGCTTTTAGTGAATAAAGTCTCTCTCAGCTGATTCCAACAGGAAGGTAACTTGCCAAGGTCTAACCATTTTTGTTGTCTAATTCATACCATTTGAGCTTGGCATGAAGCCTTAGCTTACCTGTGATCCAAATATATTAATGATGTAACTGCTTGTTTTCATTCATGAATGACCTGAAAGGGTTCTTTAGTGCACATGGGGTCCTAGTTAATAGGCAACCCTCTTTCTGTCAAAGTGTACTGTATACTGAATTGACTAAACGGGAATCACTGGCACAAAACCCCCCACAAATGAGCTGGCACTGGAAGGGGAGCCTCCACTCATGAGGCCTTCCTTCACCCAGATCACTTAGAGTTGTGTACAAGATTAGGAGAATGATTTAATGCACACAAACAATCGGAGATTAGGTCATTCTTAAAAATCCTGTTTATATATATAAAAAAAATTGGACCTCATAAAAAGGGTGAAAGGATAATAAAAACAAGCTGCCGAGCACATAGAGTTTTTGTTGGACTAGCACAGCTGATTTGTATTAGATGAATGACCTCCTAGCCCTTAAGATTGTTAACTTAGAAAAATATTCCCTGAAAGCTGTAATATTCCTTTTTAACTAAAAATATAAGGGTCTCACAGCTTGAAATTATGGACCAATTGTTTCATTTTTGGCTAAGATGCTTCTGGTACTCTAACACACTGGCAGCCCATCCTACACTAATGAACGGATAGTACCGTCAAGCCACTGGAGATGCATGTTGTGCCTTATTTGTTGCTTAGCATTTGAGCTCTCTATAAAAAAGGTTGGTTGAAGAATAAAACCGGAGAAATTCTTAAGATTAAACTGAATTTCTAGTGGTCTTTATTTAAAAGAAATTAAAAATATTTGAAAACTTCATAAAAATAGTAAGTGGGACTTGTTTGTTGTGCTCTGATCTTTGCTTCCTCATGCATAATAGGAAGGTAAGGCAAATTTATAGACCTTGTTTTTTTTCCCCTCTGATTGCTTTATTTGCTCCATGTTAAACAACAGTTGTTAACTTCTGAATTGTTTTTTCACCATAGAAAATACATTCTAAAGTCTTAGCAAATTTAACATTGAAAATAATATTCCTTTATTCATTTTTAAAAATATAATCTTGTTGTTTTCACAGTGCCTTTGAAGGAGAATATACACATCATAAAGCTCACGGGATATACAAGTGTGTTGTCTGTGGAACTCCATTATTCAAGTGAGTATTGTAGCTTCAAGATTGCTATCTTAATGAGATGTTATGCCAAGTTCCAGAGTTTTCATTCATGTTCCAGAATTTACAGTTGTTTTTTTAACCAGTAAGTAATATAAACATTATCTTTTAGTATTATTGCCACTTTTTAACATTACTTTATAATAGTATAATATAGTAAAATGAAGTCTAAGATAAATAATATGACTAAAATGGGTTTTAGGATACACAACCATAATTCATATGGGGAGATAACATTAGAATTCTTTATTGCAGTACTAAAGATCCAGTTTTGGGCATAAACCAGATATTCTCATCTGTTCTTCCTTTCTCTGGTTAGGTTGGGGAAAGAATATCAATAAGTGTTCAGGGATAAGTGTTCAGGGAATTCCTTCAGCCTGTTTAATAGAGAGTTTGTGCACAAATGTAAAGGAATATATGTGCATCTTTGTGCCCATGTACTTGAAGCAGGAAATACAGTAGAAATAAGGTGCCTGAACAAGTCATAGGATCAGGTCTAAGCAAAACTATTTGGAAGGGTGCATAAGTGCCATGTCAAAACCAGTGTTTAGACTTGCCCACGAGTGCCATCAGCACCAATCTGTACAGTACTCGTTGCAGTGAAGACCAGCACTTGCTCCAGATCAGTTTTCCAGCCTGCAAAACCTAAGTACCATTTTCTAGGAGTTAAATTTGTTGTTAAAATCCTAATTATCGTTTTATCTCTGACTTTTAGATGGTAATTGAACTGAGAAATACCTCTTTTTGTAAATTCTGGGTTTAATGAATCTTTGTTTAACTTCCAATGTGTTGTTTGTATTTTTTGTGCAAGTGAACTGAGCCTTATCACTGAAAGACAAAATCAGTATTATGGGGCAGTGAAGATTTTGCTGCAGTTATTTAACTAGATGTGTTAAATTTGTTCTAGGAGGGGTCTTCTGGAAGGATGAAAAGATAGCTTGTTCTTAGTCACCCTTTAATTTCTCTGCTGAGAATACTTACAAAAATCACATTGCGCTACAACCTACATTGGGGTGTAGGTTGTAGCCGTGATGGTCTAAGGACATAGGCAGACAAGGTTCCTTGGGTGAATCTGATATCTTTTATTAGACCAACCCAAATAGTTGGAGAATAGTTATTAAGCAAGCTTTCGGGTTCAAAAACCCTTCGTCAGGCTAAGGAAGCTTCAGCAGTTGGTGTGTGCTCTTCCTGGACGGAATGAAAAGTAAAGAAGCCAGAGGCTGGGCTGGGGAGTCAGTTGTCAGGCAGATTATAATGTGTCAAAAATCCAATGTCTATATTTAGTCCATGATTTTTAGTATCCAGGAGGTTGATGAAGTGGAGTTCATAGGCTCGTCTCTGGGAAGTGTTGTGTAAGTTTCCTTTGAGATCAGGACTGAGAGATTGGAGAGAGACTGGTTTTCTTGTGAGAAATGTGCCCCCACCGGTAATTGGGTATTTCTGTCTTAGATAGATTTCCGGTGTGCGTTCATTCTGGTGCACAGTTGTTGTTTGGTCTCTCCTACATGTTTTCCATCAGGGTATTTGGTGCATTGGACGAGGTATATTACATTCCTGGAGGTGCAGCTGTAAGATTCAGGAATGCTGATGGCTCTGTTGTGGGATGTAGTAATAGTGGGGGTGGTGGAGATGTGTTGGCAGGTTTTGCATTTCTTGTCATGGCACGGTCTGGATCCTTTTGGTGTGTTCTGGGCTTAGGGTCTCTTTCTAGTATGGGTTGCAGTTGTTCAAGGATTTTTCGTCCAGGTTCAAGGGAGGGGTGATGTCATAACCAGCGGTGTGCGATTTATGGGAGGTTTTCTTCTGTACTGCAGCAGTTCTTCACGTGGTATCCAGGTGGCTCTTTCAAACATGCGATCTATCTCTCTGGAGGAGTGTCCTTGCTGGGTGAAAGCCTTTTTAAAATTGGTGGGGTGGCAATCCTGGGTGTTCTCTTCAGTACAAATGTGGTGGTATCTGAGGACTTGGCTGTATATCACAGCTTTTTTGGTGTGTTTAGGGTGATTGCTGGTTCTCTGCAGATATGTATGTTGGTCTGTGGGTTTCTTGTATAACGCGGTCTGAATTTTATCATTTTGGATACTGATCATCGTGTCTAAAAAGGAGATGCTGGTGCTGGAGTATTCTAGAGAAAGTTGGATGGAGGGATGGTGATTGTTGAATTTCTGATGGAACTCAATCAGAGATTG